GGGGTGTGGGGCCCCAAGAGAAAGTGCTGGCGGTGAAGAATAAGCCAAAGGGAGTTATTAGCATTGTGTGGCCGTCATCAGGCAGGCTTGCTCTTCCTGGGGGACCTCGGTCGAGCCGGCCAGACAGACTGGCCTTTGGGGAAAACAGGAAAAGCATATCCGCAGGAGACTGCTGTTGTGGGGTGCTGGAGTTTAAGAACTCTGGGTCTTAGGGAATCCCACTTGGCCTCGGTTTTCCTCTATATAGTGAGAGTACCAAGTCCTGGGATCAGCCCCCCACCCCCATTCCTTACCTCTAACCCCCACATCCCTAGGTCGCTCTTCCACCCAGGGTCTCACCCTAAACCTTCCTTCATCAGCGGTGCTCCAGAATTGAAGCTTCCTTAGCAAAGAACAAACACGCTCCATTCCATGCCAGGGCAGGTGGAAGCGGGGCTCTTGCTAGGATGGAATTTTCCATAATTGTCCCCCCCAGTGTCAGTCACCTAAGTATAAAGTTTGACGTAAATCTGATTGTGTGACCAGCGTTGCTGACAACACACCCCGGGTTTGTTTTTACAGAGGTTGACCCAGAACTCCTCTTCAGGAAGCAGCTTCCCACAAAATGGCAAAACTAATGAGATGAGGCGTTTGAACGCTTGTCTCTGGATGGGAACGTCCCGGTGACAAAGGCGTTTAAGGTTAAACCCCAACCATGTGCTGAAGTCGGAAGCGAGGAAGATGGAAATGTCTCCATTTCTGTGGCTGTGCCTTTTCCTGCCCCCGGGGAGGGGACACAGCCTGTTCACCTGTGAGCCAATCACTGTCCCCAGGTGCATGAAAATGGCCTACAATATGACATTCTTCCCTAACCTGATGGGCCATTATGACCAGAGCATCGCCGCTGTGGAAATGGAGGTCAGTGACTCTTCACGCCTTTATTGAGAATTAGTTTATACCTAGTTTAAAACTTGTTTTAAAAACAAAACAAACAAAAAACGGTTACTTTTTATCTGTAAACATAATTTTGTTTTTTACAAATCATGTTTTTTAAAATTACTTTTGAAAATTAAATCTGCCCCCCCCAAAAAAAACTGGCATACTTTGTGTACATTTGGGGCCTCTAGTTAATTTGCTTAAGAGAAGGTTTATTTCATAATGAACGTGATTGCAGGCGATTAAACTGTTTTTGCTTTTCTGAGTTTTGGATGGTTGCTTCTCCTGCGAATTCCGAATTCTTTTAATGGGTGACTGAACATATAACCTGTATTGCTTGAGCTAAAATTGAAGAAACTTACATGTTTCTTAAAGTACTTGTTGTTTGATTTAGTTTTTCCAAAGCAAATAAATTATTGGGACGTTTTGGCTTTAAAGGTAACGTTGTACTGAAAAGTGACTGAATCAGGCATAGTGTTTCAGTATGTTTTCCTTCTGTAAGTCTCTTGCGAGAAGAAACCCCTCTTGCAGGGTGAAGACCGGTGTCACTAAAGGTCGCCTGAGGTGCCTGAGTTACCTACCTGTCTTTGGTTTAGATATGCAGATGTCTAAGGGAGGTGTGGGAGAAAGAGCTACCTGCAGAGACAGGACCTGTCCTGCCACACAGATCTGTTAGGCTGATAAGTTTCAAGAAGGAAAAAAGAGACAAGTGTGTTGTTTCTGTAATCTTTCTCTAGAAAAGCTGAAGGCAGTAAAGGTTCTTCCTCGGGCTGCCTCTCAGAGACGAAACCCCCAGGAATAGAATAGACAGGACTTTTTAAACTGACCCCATTTGATCTCGTGCAGCTTTGAAGGTCTTCCATTGTTGTCTCCTTGAATAGTTGTCTGGCTGACTACCTCATTCTAGGCTCCTGTCTGGGTAGGACAGTTTTTAAATACTCAGATATAACTTTCAAAGGTTTATAAGTTGCAGCATTGTAATCTTTCAGTAGTCTTTCCAAACCAATGCAAAATCTCCTTCCCTTTTTATCAGATGAAGCAAGTTCTCCCACTCGGTTACATCCTCTCTCCTGTGAGGTGTTCTTTTGAACACGCAACAAAGGATTCAGGGAGACTTCCACTGATTCATCAGAGCCATGCGTATGTAGTGGGAACACCATCCAGTGCTAATTACCGTGTTCGTTCTTGCTTTCTCTGACGATACTATTTTATAACTCATGTTTCAGTGAGTGTTCTTCAAGCATTTATAATTGGGTCTCCTCTCTGTATAGTAGTGGTGTACCTTCTAAGTCTGACAGCGACCTTATAAATTCCTAACATTTATCCTGAGCTCCTCCGTGTAGGATGGCTGCTGAAGGTCAGAAGGCCGCACTCTGCTATTTTAAAGGCCTTTTTTGAGAACAGAACCAACTGGCGTCTGTTACGTGCGTTTTATTTTAAAGACAAGTGTTTGTTTTCTACCTTAAAAAGTTGTTGTTGTTTTTATTTGTTTTGCTTTTTATTTACCTGGGTAGTTTTATGTCTGGACCCCCTCTAGAAGGGTTTTCGCTCTTTCTTTGAGTGTTGACATTACCCGTCTCTTTCTGTGTGCTCCTCACATACCAAGCACTCCTGGCTTTGGAACTGTCCAGGTTGTATTTCCAGTGAGTTAGTTTTAAGATACAGACTGAAGAGGCAGCCATGTCAGCCACTGGTTCCATCTTTTTTTTTTTTTTTTCTTGTCATTTTTCGAAGACTTTTTATGTTGAGACAGGATCTTCTTAGTTGCCCAGTCTGGTCTTGAATAGTCTCCGTAGTCCAGGTAGGCCTGATATTTAAAACCCTCCTGCCCTTAGAAGTCTTCCACTAGGACAGTACGTCTTTGCTTTTTTAATGAACGGGGTCTTCCTGTGTTTCCCTGACTGGCTTAGAACTTGCTGTCTGGCCTGGGCTGGCTCTGAGTTCATGATCCTCCTGGCTCCATGTTCTGAATGCTGGAGTTAGAGGCACTCACCACTGTGCCAGCCTGAAATGTACTTTATTAGTTACCAAGAGTTCCATGTAAGTCAAGAGAGCTATCTTATTTCTCTCTTTTAAAAATTAATTTATTATTAATTGTGTGTGTGTGTGAGTGTGTGTGTGTGTGTGTGTGTGTGTGTACAGATGTGTGTACAGGTGTGTGTGTGTGTGTACAGATGTGTGTACAGATGTGTGTGTGTGTGTACAGATGTGTGTACAGATGTGTGTGTGTGTGTGTATGGTGTATGTACAGATGTGCCATGCACAGTGCCAATGTGGAGGTCAGAGACTGTGAGGAAATCGGCTTTCTCTTTGCACCATGAGTTCCGGGAACTGAACTCAGGTTGTCAGGCAAGTGCCCTCCCCCACTGAGCCGTCCTATCAACTCTTCTCCCCTTTGAAACCTCACTTCATCTGCGCTAGCTACGCTCTTTACTGAGTTTAGGTATTAAGTCTGTGTATTGTGGGGCATGGTTAATCTGTGATTAGATACGATAGACCAGCGGCTCCCAAAGTTGAGCTCATAGACAGCGGCTTCTGCGCACGTTGGAAACCATGACCTCTGAAGACAGAGAACAGCTGTTTAACAAGCTCTCCCAGTGCTAGGTGTGATTGTTAAAGTTTAAGACCCATTAGTTAGACCTTTCCCGTGAAGGGCCACTTATATTTGGTTTGATGGACTGCAGTCTGTCACAGCTATCCGCCTGTGTGGCTGTAGCAGGAAAGCTGTCATAGACAGTATGTATAGACAGTAAGTATGGCTGTGTTTCAGTAAAGCTTCAATGGGCAGTAGGTGGGCCTGTGAGCTGTGCCTTGCTAACCCTTAAAGTAATTGGAAAGAACTTTACAAATAGAATATCATGGAGTAAATAAACATTAACGTGCATCCTTTTAATTTTTTTTTTTTGGTTTTTCGAGACAGGATTTCTCTGTGGCTTTGGAGGCTGTCCTGTCTAGCTCTTGTAGACCAGGCTGGTCTTGAACTCACAGAGATCCGCCTGCCTCTGCCTCCTGAGTGCTGGGATTAAAGGCGTGCGCCACCAACGCCCAGCAACGTGCATTCTTAGTAATATATTACCTAGGCTGTGTCTTATTTACTTTCCACATGAATTATTTATTTATTTATTTATTTATTTATTTGTGTGTGGTGGGGCTCGAAGAGGCCAGATGGAGGAGTATGTTGGGTGTCTTTCTCTGTTGCTTTCTACCATATTGTCTTGAGATACGGTGTCTCATTGAACTGGAATCTTACTGTTCTGGCTAGGCTGTCTGGCCAGCAGCTCTTTGAGATCTACCTGTCTCTGACCCCATCGCCAGGATTACAGGCCTGCACAGCCATGCTCAGCGTTTTATGTCACGCTGGGAATTTGAACTCAGATTTCCATGCTTGCAACTCTTACTGCTTGTGGTGGAGTAGAAGAGAAAGGCCCCGTGGGCTTATATGTGTGAATTCTTGGTCCCCAGTTGGTGAAACTATTTGGGAAGGATTAGGAGGTGTGGCCTTACTTGGAGGGGGTGTGTCACTGTGGGTGGACTTTAAGGTTTTAGAAAACTGGTGCCTCTCTCCCTGCATTCTACTTGGGATCAGTGTGTGAACTCACAGTCACTGCTCCAGCACCCTGCCTGCCCGCTGCCATGCTGGCCACCATGATGGTCATGGACTCGAACCATGTGAAACCATAAGCCCCAAATAAACTATGTCTTCTGTAAGTTGCCTTGGTATGGTGTCTTATCACAGCAATAAAAAAAAAAAATAAATCTAAGAAACTCATTGAGCATCTCACCACACTCTGAACGTGAATTGAATTTTTTTTAGTATTTTTGAACTATGTGTAATGTGCACATGGTGTGTGTGTGTGTGTGTGTGTATTGCATGTGAGCGCACATACCCACAGAGACCAGAAGAGGGCGTCAGATCCCCTGGAGTTGGACTTACAGGCAGTGGTGAACTGGGTATTGGGAACTGAGCTGCAAGCACGTCTTACCACTGAGCTGTCTCTCCAGCCCCACCCTACCATATGAATTTTGTTGTTGTTTTTTTTTTTTTTTTTTTTTAGACAATTTCTCACTACATAGCTTTGTCTGGCTTAGAACTTGCTATGTAGACCAGGCTAGCCTCTAACCCATAGAGATCCACCCATCTCTGCCTCTGGAGTGCTGGGCTTGAAGGCGTGGACCAGCATACCCTACTCTATATAAATTTTTAGTCAGATTTATCACAATTCGAAAGGATCTGACAGGCATATCAGATTCTGATATCCTGGCTCTTCAGTTTTGCTACAGAAATTGCTTGAAATAAGAGAGTCTGTTTTTTTTTTCCCTCCTCATTTTATGACCTAAGCATAAGGTCATTTGTATTACAAAGAGTTAAGTTATGACTCTGAGTAGTAACTTGGCTTTGTAATAAAAGGATGCTGTACAATTGAACTCTTGCTGGTGGGAAAACAAATGGCGACTGGTTTCCCATTATGTGTCTTTTGTTTTCTATCTAGAGCATCGTTTCAGAACTTATGAGGGTGACTTCCTGTGAGACTCTGACTTCATACCCTAGGACTGAGGTTTGTCTAGGGAAAATGGAAACAGGAATATTGTATTATTCTTTGTTGAGGTCCAGGCTGAAGCAGAGTCATGTGTTGTGTTTAGACCAGCATGTGGCCGTTCTGCTTTTAAACAGTTTAAAGGAAGTAAGCCTTAAAAAAACCTCTTCCTCTCCAGCTGTTAGTATGTACCATTAAAATGGCTAGATTGAATTAAAAATAAAGGAATGGGTAGATACTGGATCAACAGGCTTCTAAGAAAAAAATGTTTCTGTTGTAGAGTGACTTTTTTTAGGCATTTGCTTTTTTGTGCTCTTAGAAGAATCCAGAAGTCACAGAGGTGAAATAAACACTTGAGGGTGTTCTCAGTCAGAAGTCTCACGGCTGCTTGTAGGGTTTTAAATGTAGACCCCACAGCCACCTTCCCTTGAGATGTCGTGTTGTAGA